TTCATCATTTAACTTTCATAACAAAGACTGGTGTCATTTGTCATTATCTCCATTTGACAGGTACAGAAACAGGTTCAGAGAGCTTTAAGACCAGATAGTTAGTAAGCAGATGGGCAGGATTACCAGAAAGAACTTTCAGATATGCGGAAGGTAAAGTTGGTGAACTCTTTTCACTCATCCTGGGAGGCAGGGGCTACATTAGAAGATACCTAGAAGGCACCCAAAAAGAATTAAGACTAATAATGGGATTTTTAAGAAATTCTTCAAAAGGTCATAACTGCTCTAACAAGGCAAGACCAATCAGGAATTGTAACCTAAAAAGCCAGTAATGAACTAAACTATCATCAATTCTGCCCTCCCAGAAAGAGCACAAATGATTGATAGGCCTGACAAAGCAGGACTTCATCTCTGATGACAAGCACACCCCTTTATACTAGCCTTAATCTCCCCAATTCCAGAATGATGTAGCACTTTATCATGCTAAAGAAACAGCTTTTTTTTTTTTTTTGGTTATAAGCAATTTAGGGGCGGGAATAATACCTTATTCACAGATATTCCCCTTGTTATGTGGTCCTTTATATACCAAATATATTTTTGTTTGAAAATTAAATAAATTTATTCATTCAACTCCAATATCCTAGGCACTATTCTAGAATATGAGAACACAGCAATGATCAAAACAATGTCCTGGGCTGGGTGAGTAGCTCAGTGATACATCCCCCAGCTCCACAAAAAAATAAAAAAATAATTATCAGGTTAACAAATATATATATTATATAATATACAAAGTGTATATTATATGTATGATACACATAAATATTTTATATATTAAATATAAAAATGTTTTGTGTATAAATTTTTCTCCTAGATACTGGGGATTGAACCAGGGGCATGCTACCTCTGAGAACCATCCCCAGACCTTTTTTTTTTTGCTTCCAGGAATTGAATCCAGAGGTGCTTAACTACTGAGCCATATTCCCAGCTCTTTTTTGTATTTTATTTATAGACAAGGTCTCACTGAGTTGCTCTGAACTCATAATCCTCCTGCCTCAGCCTTCTGAACCACTGGGATTATAGGTGTACGCCACCACACCTGGATATATGGTATTTAAAGTTTTGAAAAAAAAATAAAGCACTAAGAAATAAGTGTAGGCAGAACAGGTGGACTACTTTGAGTACTCTGTCACTGGAGGCTAAAGAGATGAGAAGGCATTAGGAAGAAAAAAAATGTTAAGGAAGAGGGGCCAAGGAGGTAGACAGAGAGCTAAGAGAATGCCATAGAAATTAAGTGAAGCCATAGTGCAAGGAAGGAGCAGCAACTGCTTCTGATAAGAAAGGTAAGAAAGATGACTGAGAAATGACCATTGAATCTACAAGCTGACTGCTAAATTTATTCTTCCCTATTTCACATATACCTTTTTTTTTTGTTGTTGTTTAATCCAGTAAAAATCCCAGCATTATTCAAGGAATACACATAAGGTTTCTGTTTAATGGAGCTAGGACCATGTGGGGAAAAAAAACAAAAACAAAAATCAATGCTCTTAATCTGAACAAAACAGACTTTACAAAGTGAATGATGTTGAACAAACATTTTGTCTAGTTGAAGTAACTGTCTTTCTAAAACAAAGTTCCTGACTATGCCTTGTTGTGCTTAGTTGGTGGGATCAGAGCTTTTTAAACATATTTTTTCTTTTTCTTTTTTTTTGGACCAGGGATTGAACCCAGGGATGCCTAACCACTGAGCCACATACCCAGCCATTTTTTATTTAGAGACAGAGTCTCGTTGAGTTGCTAAGCGCCTCACTAAGTTGCTGAGGCTGGCTTTGAACTTGTGATTCTCCTGTCTCAGCCTCCAGAGCCGCTGGGATTAGAGGTGTGTGCCACCTCCCAGCATGAAAGGTATTTCTTTTGTTCTGCCATAAAAAGGCACAATTATTCTAGACCCCCTTTCCCTCCTCCCTAACTCAAATATCCTAACCAACTGAATAAGACCATAAATTTACACACACACACACACACACAGCCTTAAAGCCTTAAAAACAAAACAGAGCACAACAGACCCTAAAGTTGGATGACAAAGATACACTGTACACTGCATCTTTCTTTTTCTTTTTTTGAGATGGGGTATTGCTATGCTGCCCAAATTGGCTTTGAACTTCTGGGCTCAAGCAATCTTCCTGCCTCAACCACACAATTGGCTAGGACTACTGGCTTACACTATCACACTCTGCTGTACCTTCTTTCTTTCTTCTTCTTTTTCTTTTTTGGTACCAGGGATTGAACCCAGGTGAGCTGATGTCCCAGCCCTTTTTTTATTTTTAGTTGTAATTGGACACAACACCTTTATTTCACTTATTTTTTTATTTGGTGCTGAGGATCGAACCCAGGGTCTCATACGTGCCAGGTGAGCGCTCTACCGCTGAGCCACAACCCCAGCCCTATATTTTTCTTTAGAGACAGGGTCTCAATGAATTGCTAAATGCCTCACTAATCTGCTGAGGCTGGCTTTGAACTCGAAATCCTCCTCTCAGTCTCCCGGAGCCACTGGGATTACAGATGTGCCACTGTACCTTCTTTCTTTTACTGTACAATTGATCACCAGTCATTTGCTAATTCAAAGGTTGGGCTTCATTTACATTTTCTCCTTAGCATTCCTAGATAAAAGTGCAATTTCTGGTGTCTTCATTTTAAAACAGAAGTAATACTCCAAAATAAAGTCTGCAACTTTCTCTGCTATAGCAAGCACAGTAAAGTTAAAATAATCCACACTACTGAAGCAGGAGAACAATAATCACTAAAAATTGGATAATGCAAACATCCGTCATAAATGCCTACAACTTCTCAATGGACTATGCTCTCTCTGATTTTGAACTTTTGTTCCCTCTGCCTATAATACCCTTTCCTACCCTCCCCCTCACATTTGGGACTCTGGATGTCAACTTTTATCTAGACCGCCTTCTCCCATTGCTTCCAAAGCTAAATTAAGGCCCCTCCTCTCTTCTCCCACTGCATTCTCTGCTAACTCATATATTAATACTTAACACATGTCTGTGTTACCTGTCTCTCCATCTAGATAATAAACATCTTGAGGCCAAGGTCAAGATCTCATGCATTTGTATATTCTTAGTGTCTAAGACATATTAAACAATCAATAATGACTTGTTGAATGAATGTATACAAACTTGACCAAGAAAACCTTCAGTAATTTTTTAACATATTTTCCCTGATAAATCAACTGAACTCAGGCTAATATTAAAGTTACTGGCACCCAATCCCATCCCCAGCTGATAGCAGAAGCAAAGAAATTTACTCTACATGGTAATGAACATAGAGGTTTAAAAAAAAAAAAAAAATGGAAGTGTGTGCTACCCGAAATCAACTCAAGAGGAGTCATCATTTCCACTGCTCTTCTTTGAAGACAGCAGTCTATGCTTCTCAAACCACCAGCTGTGCGCTGGCACACAGGAGGGAAGCAGGGGTGATGAACCACTAGATTGTTTTGTTCACCTCTTTCCCACCAATACTGCATTTCACTCTTCGCTTTTTACCCATCCTCACTTTCTATACTTTGTATTTGCATTCAGTTTTCATTTTTCCCCTTTTTAAACTTTCCTCTGCCATCTCTTCCACATACTCTATTTCAGGCAGAGATACCATAGAGTATCCAAGGGCATTGCTTTGTCTAATAGGGAGAACTTAGGCCAAGGATGTTGCTGTATCTTTGGGTTACTTCTGCAAACTACACCAATAAACTTCTTATGTTTCTCAGGCAACCAAAGAGTGATCTCCTAACAGCAGAACAAGGAAACCAGCACATGACACCAAATTGTTACTATCTGCAAAGTGGGTAAGACAAGTTTCTAGGCTATAGTAGCCTATAATATAATAGAGAAAAGGCCCTCTCAATTTAATATTATTTTAAATAAAAGAGAGCTCTGATGGAGGAGAAAAAAATTAAACCATGTTTTTAAAAAACAATGCTACATGTTTATAGAGCAAATTTAAATAGCTATAGTATACTTTGCTGGGACAAGTAGGTTAAAGAAAAGAAATATGGTCCCTACCACCAGGGAATTTGGGAGTCTCATTGAGTAATCACTCTCACTCCTTCACAAACTCATAAATGTAAGCACTAGAGATCAAGAAGAGAAGAAATTATCTTAAAACAAGAGTAAGGAGCCTAAGGTAATTGGAATGGATGTTCTAGGACAGAAAAACAAAGACTGATTTGGGAGGCTTTTTGAATTTAAAGTTATCCAAGTTTCAAAACTGTGACACAGCTGGGCACAGTGGCACACACCAATAATTCCAACAACTCAGGAGACTGAGGCAGGAGGATTTCAAGTTTGAGGCCAGCTGCAGCAATTGAATGAGGCCCTAAACAACTTAGCAAGACCAAGTTTCAAAATAAAAATAAAAAGGAAATGTGGCTAAGTGGTTAAGCACCCTGGGTTTAATCCCCAATACCAAAATAAAAAATAAAATAAAGTCTATGCCACAGACATCAGAAGTTAAGGAAAGGACAATCTACAAGCAGTAATCAAGAAATCTAACTCATGCTGTATATATATAGGTGACTCTATGACCAGTGTGATTCTGCAATCTGTACAATCAGAAAAATGAGAATTTATACCCCAATTGATTCAAATGTATGAATTGCCAAGATCATTGTAATGTCATGGCAGCTAATTAAAAAAAAAAAAAAAAATCTAACTCAGGTCCCAATAAGCTGTATAACCTTCAGCAAATTCTTTCACTCTTCTAATCCAAAGATGGCTCATCAGTAAAATTGGTACAATAATAACTTATTGGCAAAGCTGTCTGTGATGCTTATACAAGTAATACAAAATCATTTTTTAAAGTTTTATGTATATAACATGCCAACATAATGTAAGAAGAAGTAAAAATTGTTTCTCTGAATGGAAGATAAATCCTGTGGTTCAACTTCCAAAGTCTAAACCTGGCTCACCTTCCCAGTCATATTAAACCCCTTAACCAACCTGTGGTCATTTGAGTGAGAAGAGTCCTGTGTGAGATTCCAGGGTTGGGGCGGTGACTATTCAATCCATTGTTCCATATCTCAGGAGCTTCATCCATAAAATGGGTAATGTGGAATTCAAAAGTTAATCCAGATCTGAGTAAGGGAGTACAGAATTTTCCAAAAGTGAGTAAAACATTTACACAACCCTACCCACCACCACTCAGAGATAATAAGGTCATTAAATAGTATCACTCCCAGAATAGAATTTAAAAATGGCTTAGTGATCATTTAATTTTTTGTTTTACAGTGGAAAAAACTGAGACCCAGATATATAAATTGTAGAAGTCTCACAGCTAGTCAGTCACAGAATGGGGCTAGGGCACAGAGCCTTGGATTCCAAAATCCAGAGCCCACTTTGACAAATTACAGCATCTCCAGGGCACCTGGAGAGCCTACAGGACACATCACTCTAGGATTTCATCAACAGTAAAATGTGGGCCACTGAAGGTGGGATATAGGATTCTCGGGGAGGTTAAGAGCTAAGGAAGATGAGAAAGGAAATACTTCACTGAGGAGTACAATTAGTCCTAGAGGTACTCAGATAAGAAGAAATCAAGGAAATATTTCAGGCAGAAAAGAATTAAAACAGGCAATCTTGGGGAAAAAAATTTTTTTTTTTACCTGATTGGTAAAAATTTCTTTAGGGAAGATAAAAAAAGTAAATTTGGAGGACCATAATGCATTCAATCAGGATACTCCATGACCATATGCAATTTAGTCCTTTCGTCTCCTGTTTTCTAATATTTTTTTTTTGTTGTATTTGGAGAGCGCACCAGGATTTGAACCATTACTAGTATCTTTTTTTTTTTTTTTTAATTAGGAATTGAATCCAGGGGTGCTTAACCACTTAAGCCACATCCCCAGCCCTTTTATTTTCTGAGTCAGGATATTGCTAAATTGCTTAGTGCTTAAATTGCTGAGGCTGGCCTTAAATTTGCAATCCTCCTGCCTCAGTCTCCCAAGTGGCTAGGATTATAGGTGTGTACACCATGCCAAGCCATTACTAGTATTTTTAATTCTTTAATCTACTTTGTCTCCCTACAAAGAACTCCACAGAGACCACATCTACCTTATGGTTAAGTATACCATCTGTGGACTCAGATTGCCTACATTCATATCCATACTTTACTACTTTATCTGAACTTGGACAAACTCCTTCACCTCTCAGTACCTCTGTAAAATGGAAATAATATCACCACCCATTTCATGAGCTTATATGAGGATTAAATGTGTATTCCAGTCACAACCTACTAATGGGTTTTGAATCATTTTAGTTATAACAACCCCTTTTATGTTTGAATATAAATAAATGAACAGAAACTGGAACCAGAATACATTGCATGTAGTAATAAGTAGTGTTTTGCAAAAAAATCTGTTATATAAAATGGGTACAGTGGCACACACCTATCATCCCAGCAACTAGGATGGCTGAAGCAGGATTCCAAGTTCAAAGCCAACCTCAGCAACTTAGTAATTTAGTGAAACCCTGTCTCAAAATTAAAAATAAATAAATAAATAAAAGATGATGTTGCTCAATGGTAAAGCATCCTCATTTAATTCCCAATTAAAAAAAAAAAAAAGAACCGATATGTGATATATGTGTGTACATCTGAATTACAATGTAAGATCGATTTCTTCTAATATTTTACTTTTAATAATGTTAAGAGCCACTGAGTTAAAGCATAGGATAGGCTTAGAACAGGGCCTAGCATATAACTAAGTACTTAGTGCTATTATTATTACTGTAATAATAATAGCACTAAGTACTTAGTTATATCCTAGGTATGTACCTATCAAAGTTATTTGCAGAGTTATATAAAACAATATGAAGACTTTTGGAAAATTTGATACACACGTTAATGTAAGTTAAAAGCAAAAATCCCTCTCCATCTATAACAGCCATGTAGTCCTTGTTTAGGCATGTTTTTGTTACCTGGACCCCCTAACCATGTGTTACACTGAGGTGTCCACAGACTATGATTTATCTAACACTATGTCAGGATTTGTCAATATTTGCAGAATAATGGAGGCTTGGTGCCAGAGTAAAATAACTCATTTTTACAGAGCTGGGGATAAGGGGTAGTGAAGAAGGAGTCAAGCACAAGTAGCTGAAGGAAGCAAGTGAGTCTCTCAAAGAATTGTTCACTCCCCTAGAGCCAGGTAACTCAAATGTGCCACTGAGGAGGCCAGACTAAGACACGTGGGCCTTGGAAAGGTCTGAATCACTTCCATCTCTCTCTCCCTATCCAGTTACCTCACAGAACAGCATTTAAGCCCAGACAGGGCTCAAATGTGTGTGTCACTCACATCAGGAGAAAATGGAAATCCCCAAGGAGATACAAATGGGCTGACTACACAACAAAGGATTACCTAAAGGTAACCTTCAAAGTCAGCACATTTACACGTTAAAAACAATTTAAATTCTAAGCAGATCGGGAGGCTGAGGCAGGAGGATCACAGGTTCAAAACCAGCCTCAGAAATTTAGCGAAGCTGTAAGCAACACTGTTTTAAAATAAAAAAAAATAAAAAGGGTGACGGCTAGGAATGTGGCTCAATGGTTAAGCACCTTTGGTAGCTTTTTTGCTACAAAAAAAAAAAAAAAAAGAAAGAAAGAATGAATTTAATTCAAAAACCTTGATTTATAGAAAAACTGGAAAATGTGCTCACCAGTAAAGAAATCAGAAGGTCTGGATTCCATCCCCGACAACGTATGACTTTGAATGGCTCACTTCATTTCTCTGGGCTTAAGTGTCTTCCTCTGCTTAAAAAAAAAGAGAGAAAGAGAAGGGGATAACTACCTCGTAGAGTGTGGTAAAAATTAAGATAGTATGCAATAAAATGCCTACCATAAGATCTGTCCCTTCTAGACCATAAAAGACAATACAAATTATAATAAGCTGTGGGTCACTGACCAACTAACTGCCTGTGAAAATGCCTACAGAGTATGTCTACATATTTGTATTATTTTAAAAATCATATTTTGGTCTTCCCAGCACAACACCGTGTACTAGGAGATCTGGGAAAGCAGTATTTTCCCCATCTCATTCCTTAAAGCAGTGGTTTCTAAGTATTTTGGTACAGGGGCGGGGGGACACCTGAAATTTCCCCATGGTACTGCCCATACACTATGAAAATCTAAAAAAAAAAAAAGGCCGAGATGATCGACACCGTGCCTACATTTTACTATTATTCACATTCTCCTTTCAAATTAAAGGAGGGAGGATTAAACTTCTTCCGCCACGTTTCGGACCAGCCTACAGGAGGGATCTTAAGGACTCCCGTCGCAGGGAAGTCCCAGTGAACAAGAGGCGGCGCGTTCTAGAGCTTTCGGGCGACCCCAATTTCTCCTGAGCGACGAATCCAGGCCACGTGTCGCCATTTTGTGTTCAGGAAACATGGCGACGGGGGGGGGGTGGCGATGGGGAGCGCCACGTTAGCCCACTTTCACTGAGGGACTAAGTATGCTTTGCTCACTTGACATTCTGGAGTCTGGCTTAGCTCAAAGAGGAAAGGGAAGGGGCAGAAATCACAACTCATGTGCCGGCATCTCAGCGACATTTTCTAGCGAGATGAACTAGGCAGAAAAGGCCTCCCAAGATGGCGGGCGTCACCAGGGGCCGCCCGAGAGTGGGGCGCTGCGGCTGCGCTGTGAGAGAAGAGGGCCGAAAAGCGAGAACCGGAGAGGCCGCGCGGGAAATGCCGCAGAAACCTCCAACTCTGGTCGGCACCGCTCGAATTTAAATAAGGCCTCCAGAGACGCACACTATTGTTTCAAGTAGCAGACAAGAGACTGCCACGGTAGAAAGGACCGAATTGCTAGGTTGGGTTTCTGCGGGTTTCAACAGAAAGAAACCAGCAAGATGCAAACAAAGCATTATGTAAATGGACGCCATTCTTTTCATGGCTGTTACGAGCACTTCACAAACACAAAGGCGCGAATGCGCCGGCCCGCGGTAGGGGCTCGGGTTTGGATCTTTCTGCTCACCAGCCACCTCCGTGGGGCCGGGGCAGGAGTGGGGGCTGGCGCAGGGCGCCCGGACGCCGGGGACGAAAGGGCCCCACGTGCCCGCTCGCGCGCGCACCCGCCCCACAGGCCGCACCTCGCCGCCCCTCCCCCCCGGAAGACGGCGGCTGCCCCTCCCGTCCTCCCCACACCCTCGCGCATGCGGTCTGGTTACCTCACGCGCACGTTTTAAACCCGCGGCGTCCCAGCTGCCGCCTGCACTGATCGCCAGGGCTGCCCTTGTCACTCTGCGCATAAATCCCTTTGGTATATCAGGAAAATTATATGTGTCTCCCCAAAACAACATTAATATTTTCAGCCACCTGCCAGTGCTGTTGGAGTTAATAAAACACGTGTTCACTGTAAAGCCCTGCCGGACCCACACCTTCCGCCCATCAAATGCATTATTTTCACTACTCCGGTATTGAAAGGATTTTTTTTTAAAGTACCGCGTGGAGGTTGGCGCAATCTTGTGACCTAAAAAAACGGGTCCTCATTTTTTTCAAGGGGTCCTGCGCAGCAAGCACTTCCGGGGTCAGAGGGTACGCGGGGTTGAAAGCGGGCTTCCCGCCCCGCCCAGACCGCCGAGGCTGCCGCCGGAGTCGCCACCGCCGCGCCCTCGCCCACCCGCCCGCCCGCCGCTCCCGGCCCCGCTCGCCCCCTCCGCCGCCGCCGCCCGCCCCTGCGACGACGCCGCGGCCTCCCGCCCGCTCCTGCTCGCTCCCGCGGCCCTCGCTCGCCTCGCGCCGGCAGTTTTGGGCCTACACCTCCCCTCCCCCCGCCAGCCACCAAAGACTTGACCACGTAACGAGCCCAACTCCCCCGAACGCCGCCCGCCGCTCGCCATGGATGCCGGTGTGACTGAAAGTGGACTAAATGTGACTCTCACCATTCGGCTTCTTATGCACGGAAAGGAAGTAGGAAGCATCATTGGGAAGAAAGGGGAGTCGGTTAAGAGGATCCGCGAGGAGAGTGGCGCGCGGATCAACATCTCGGAGGGGAATTGTCCGGAGAGAATCATCACTCTGACCGGCCCCACCAATGCCATCTTTAAGGCCTTCGCAATGATCATCGACAAGCTGGAGGAAGATATCAACAGCTCCATGACCAACAGCACGGCGGCTAGCAGGCCCCCGGTCACCCTGAGGCTGGTGGTGCCGGCCACCCAGTGCGGCTCCCTGATTGGGAAAGGCGGCTGTAAGATCAAAGAGATCCGCGAGAGTACCGGGGCCCAGGTCCAGGTGGCGGGGGATATGCTGCCCAACTCCACCGAGCGGGCAATCACTATCGCTGGCGTGCCGCAGTCTGTCACCGAGTGTGTCAAGCAGATCTGCCTGGTCATGCTGGAGACGCTCTCCCAGTCTCCGCAAGGGAGAGTCATGACCATTCCGTACCAGCCCATGCCGGCCAGCTCTCCGGTTATCTGCGCTGGCGGCCAAGATCGGTGCAGCGACGCTGCGGGCTACCCTCACGCCACCCATGACCTGGAGGGACCACCTCTAGATGCCTACTCGATTCAAGGACAACACACCATTTCTCCGCTCGATCTGGCCAAGCTGAACCAGGTGGCAAGACAACAGTCTCACTTTGCCATGATGCACGGCGGGACCGGATTCGCCGGAATTGACTCCAGCTCTCCAGAGGTGAAAGGCTATTGGGCAAGTTTGGATGCATCTACTCAAACCACCCATGAACTCACCATTCCAAATAACTTAATTGGCTGCATAATCGGGCGCCAAGGCGCCAACATCAATGAGATCCGCCAGATGTCCGGGGCCCAGATCAAAATTGCCAACCCAGTGGAAGGCTCTTCTGGTAGGCAGGTTACTATCACTGGCTCTGCTGCCAGTATTAGTCTGGCCCAATATCTAATCAATGCCAGGCTTTCCTCTGAGAAGGGCATGGGTTGCAGCTAGAACAGTGTAGGATCACTCATAACCCCCTTCTGCTGTTTTCCCATGATCCAACTGTGTAATTTCTGGTCAGTGATTCCAGGTTTTAAATAATTTGTAAGTGTTCAGTTTCTACACTTTATCATCCGCTAAGAATTTAAAAATCACATTCTCTGTTCAGCTGTTAATGCTGGAATCCATATTTAGTTTTATAAGCTTTTCCCTGTTTTTAGTTTTGTTTTGGGTTTTTTGGCTCATGGATTTTATTTCTGTTTGTCGATAAGAAATGTAAGAGTGGAATGTTAATAAATTTCAGTTTAGTTCTGTAATGTCAAGAATTTAAGAATTAAAAAGGATTGGTTAAAAAATGCTTCATATTTGAAAAAGCTGGGAATTGCTATCTTAAACTCTTTGTTGGTGCTTTTTTTTCCTCCCCTTTTAGCATTAGGTGTTTGGAGGGCAGAGGGCCCACCCCGCTCTTCTCACCTTATCGGTAAGATTCCATTTCCCCTGCCTCAACAAAGGAGCACAGCAGGCTGGGCCTGCTTTGGGTATTTACAGAGATGGAGGGGCTCTTTCCGGAATGACATCCTTCCAACTAAGTTCCAGAGAGTGGCCTCTGCCCATTTCCCTGATAGAAAACATAAGGTTTTCTGAGGTGGAAAAAGTGCCAATTCAGTAGGACCTGATGAATGGAGAGCATCCTCTCCATCTAACCAGCCCCCTCTACCCCCATCCCATATGAAAAACTTAGCCAGGAACAATAAAATATTCTGAGGTGGGAGGAGCCGGGGGTGGAGAAGGGTTGGGGGAGGGGCATGGGTGGGAGGCGGGCAACAGCTGCGTCGTGGTTGTGGGGATAGAGGGGTCTATCAGCTGGACAGCTGGGGGAAGGGGGTCAAAGGAAGAGCTAGGCAGGCTGTACCTTGCACGTGGCCTGCATGCACCTGTGGCAAGCCTGTCTGAGGATGTTGTTACACCTGTCAAGTGAGGTGTCCAGAAACAAAAGAGGCCCAGTTCCCAGTTTTTCAGCTGCGTGCAATGTTCAGAGAATCATTTTACCAGGAAGTAATCCTGCCTAAAGGAGGCAAGATTTCTTAAATTCTTATTGGCAAGAATTTTGTACCCATTGATCACAGCCTTAAGTTGATCAGGGTGTTAATACAAATTCCTGGATCCTACCCCAAATAACCAGAGAAATGCATTTTTAAACCTCAAAAGTGTCTGAGTTGAGTATCACTTTCTCTTTGGCAGATGGGGGGAATTCTGTGGTGAAGGCCATGTGTCCCATGTCCACATCAGCTAATGGGGCTAGGATGGACCTAATGAAAGAAAAATTATCAACAAGGCAATGGCAACAAGATAATTAGGTACCAAAGTAGGTAATGCAAACCCTAGGCACTATATGAAATCACTACTAGCAAAGAGAAATTCCTGTGGAAGGGGAGTATTACCCACAATATTTGTTGAAGCTTCTCTATAGGACATGCTTTTCCTGAGGTGTAGGCCTGGTTTTGAGAGTCCCTAGAGGTAATATTGCCATATACTTCACATCCACTGTAGAGGCCCGTCAGGCAGTTGCTGAAAGGAGCTCAAATTAGTTAAGCCTGCTTTCGTAGTTCATTCTGCCACTTGCTGGCTTTGGGAAAATTAATTAAATCTTTACAAAATGAAAATGTTAAAAGTATACAGCTCCTAGGCTTAAGAAAGTAAAAAAAATGTGAGGGAAAGCAAGATGTTGTTTAGTGCAGGCGCAGTGGCTCATGCCTGTAATCCCAACAGCTCAGGAGACTGAGGCAGGAGGATCAAAGCCAGCCTCAGAAACTTGGTGAGGGCCTGTCTCGATAATACAGAAAAAAGTGATGGGAATGTGGTTAAGTGACCATGAGTTCAATTCCAAGTACATACATACATATATATATATAGTCTAGAACATGTTTGTTTGTTTGTTTTTAAAAAAAGGCCTATTTTGGGAGGTAGGAGTTTTCTAGAATATCTGAGAAGAGATGACAACTAATTAAAAGGTAAGAAACTAGTATTAAATGTTGAGCTAGAGGAGCTGGTCTGAGAGGCCAAGACACATGGGGGAATGGGGAATAGTGAAGACCTGGAAGCCTGTTCATTACCTTCTGGAAACAATGAGCACTAATCAGGGCAAGTGGGTAATGAACTCAAACCCAGAGACACCATGCCTGTAGTCTCTGAAACTTGCTAGGCGAAGTAATTTGAATACCCCATGGAAAATTAGAGCTCAACCTTTCCTAACCCTCCTCCCCACTATACATTGCCCTTTATTGGGACAAAGCTGGCGATAATTTGTAAAAAATAATTTGGACAATAAGGCATGTGATTAATTATACCTTGAAGAGACAAAGGGCAGGAACAGCAGTTAGAAAACTACCTCAAGCAGGTTCTAACTCAGACTGGAAAGTGGTATCAATAGGCACACAGAGGGTCCAATTGAAGCAGTGCTATAAGCCTGTAATCCCAGCTACTCGGAGACTGAGGCAGGAGGATCCCAAGTTCAGCCAGACTAGGCATCTTAGACCTTGTTTCAAAA